CTTTCCGTCAGAGATTTCGATAAGTTGTTCCATAACTCCCAGAGGAAGTCTAAAGAAATCATCTTTTTGGTCGCTGCGTTCGATGACCAAACTACTAAGACCGAACAGACGAGCTAACGTGAGTCGGAGCAAGTCTTTGAATTCTGTTCTTTCAGATTACAAGCTAATGAAGGAGGTACCCGTAGAAGGCATAACGTTGAAGTTCGAACCGCCTTCGAGAGTTCCCTCCGCCGCTGATATAACTAAAGACCAACCAGAAGGTATTTATCGGTATAGCCTGTATCTTCTATTTATTGATACCTCGTGTAAAATCCCTCAAGCTTCTCTTTCTAATGAAGCATCTAATTGTATTAAAACTTGGGAGCAAATCTTGAGTACTCTTCCACAAAATGAAGTTTATAGAAATGAAGCTAGTTTGATTTGTTGTATGCCTCTTAATGAAATGATAGACTACGTCTCTCAACAAGACACAAAATCCAGACAGCTCCACACAGGGGGCTAGCCTACTCCTAAGTTCAGACCGAGTCTCCTGTGGCTCAGCGGTAAGGCATTTGAAGTATTACTTGAAAGGTCGTTGCCTGCTGTTGAAAGCTCCCGAAATTGTCTCCGTTGCTAAAATGCATCATCACTAACAACATTCTTATGGTCATTTAGACTGATATAGTTTAACTTTTGGACCCATTACAGGAGAGAATGCTCTGCTTCACGTGCCAGCGGAGGAAAGAAGAAAACATTCAACGAGAGATTCTCAAAAGGAAATCTCAAGGCCATCTGCGCTAATAAACAAATCACTCTACCCACTCCACCTTAGACGAGGAGCCGTGTCACCAGCCTCATTCAGCCTAAAGAGCGCGTCAACAGCTTCTAGTTTAAACGCACTTCCAAGAGGATACAATGAGCTTTACAATGCACTTAGTGGTAAAGGACCTATTATTCTCTTGTCAGATCAAGCCAGCGTGCAAAGCCTTTGCTCGATCAACTCACGGATGACTTGTTCGTGTTCAAGTTTGAGAAGCGCCGGAAGTGATGGCACGATTCCCGATGTGATTGGTGAGAACCGAACGCGCATGGGTAGTGATGGAAATTTTCCGTTTAGTCCCACCGAAAAGGTCGACGGGATACAGGCAACATTAACAGTACCCGTAGAGTCTCATGGAAAACGAAGAGATGATACCGAGAGTCGTAACAGCGTCAAAGAAGCCGATTATCCCCTCGCACCGAAAGAACACAAGAAATGCAGAAGGCATGATCATAGAAACAAAACTGAGGAGGATGAGTTTGTACCAGTTGAATTTATGACGATACCAAATGTAACAAATGGTGAAAAGCCTACAAGTTACGATGGAAACCTTGGGATAATTTGTCAGAACAACACAGCCGAGTCACAAAACGTGGATCAAATCAATACAAATTGGCAGCATAATCAGCAGCAAACAAGTCCTCCCCAACCTGATGTAGAGGAAAAAAGTCCGCCAGACAAGGATAACCTCTCGCGAGAAGATGGTCAAGAAGATGAAAATATGTCACTCGAGAAAGTTGTCCCGGACATTAATGTACCTGTTAAACCTGTTCCAGTGATAGGGCGGGCCGCGTCCGCTTTTTCTATCATGGAATACAGCATTGGTAAAAATATCACGTCATGTAACGACGGAAGCCAACCAGCGGAGAATAACTCAACTCGCAACGACATTGGGCGTAAAACCCTTCAGCGACGTCACAGTGCCTTCACTCCCTGTCATGACAACACAACACCGCGCAGGGGACATTTGAGTAGCAGTTACATGAATAGTCATGTGAATGAGCGTGAACCGCTAATTAATGGAAATGTTATGCGGGCTTATGATTCTATTAGAGAAAAAGAACAAAGCATCGATGATAAAGATATTCAAGACTGGAAAAGGATGAGGAAAACCGGCGTACTTTCTTGTCACTTGCAAACAAACCTTGAAATTCAGAGAAGCAATCCATCTTTGGAGGAAAGTTCAAATATGACTGAGAACAATTCTGCACATGAAAGTTCGAACCAAGAAAGAACATTCCAATCTTTCCAACCATTTTCGTCAGACACGGAATCAACAACCTCGGAGTGTAGCCCTAAGGGCCCCATCACAAATGTCGAGCACGAACATGAGAAAACCAGAACATCAAGGGTTTAAGAAGCGCTTTCTTGTCTCTTTCTCATGTAAAACAAATACAGTTTTATTCTACTTGTATTTTCTCTTCTTGTACACGGAATTTCCAGTGCAGTTGTGATCAAAGCTGATAAAAGATATTTTCCGGTGGAAAAAACAACCAGCCGATTCTTATAACATGTAGCAAATATGATTAAATAAGGAGAAACAATGTTCGCGTTAGACTTTGGCCATTTCGTAAGTTGAGGAAGGAAAAGAAATAGTTCTTAACAAACAGCACTTAGTCTGTTATAAAGTTTGGGTAAAGATAAAATGATGAAAATTTCCGAAAAAAAAAAGAATTGGTCTTATTTCTTGATATCATATGGCCTGTGTCTTTGAAAAACATTAAAGAGCAATTACTGAAATTTACTTGTTTTTTCCTCTAGAGGAACGTTTGAGGTGTGTTTTACAACACTTTTCCTCTAAAGACTGTAATTCAGGGCCCCCACTGGCATCAGGATTAAGCCCAATAAATTATTTACCTAGATTCCAAAGAAACTAGTAAGACAATCAATTTTGTCTTTGTCGTCATTTTGAAAAAAAAAAACAAAACAAAACAAAATGAAAGGAATAGGAACAGAGATTTCCCAAGGAAATTATTAAATTCTCGTCAAATACTTCAGTAACTTAGTCTTATCTCATCCGTTTTCTTTAAGGATTTCCATCAAAGTTACTCATTGTACGGAAAACTACTAAAAAAAGAATGTAAGTTGCTTAACGCCATATTACAATCTTCTAAGTTCGGCCTCAGTCTAACTGTACGTTACTATTCATTTTGAAAAAGGTATGCCCGCCAAAGCTACCTGCAAGATGCGATGTAGTTTGACATTCATCTTTGGCGGATCATAGCAATCCAGAATTTTTATTCTCTCATCCAATCGGCTGTTTATTCCTTTGAGTGCTTTCCTAATATCCTCCATTTCTCGATTAAAAATTTCCGACCGTAGAGCACGTCTTTCCTGGTCGCGCTTTAGCTGCTGATAAAATGTCTCTTTTTTACGAGTACTTTGCTTTAACAGATTGTTCTTGGTCAGTTCCTTGTGATTTTCCTTTAACTCGTTGATGGCTTCCTCTCGACTGTTTGCAGAAACTTCCCTTCTTCCCTGACTGGTTTGTGAAATCCTGGGCAACTTATTCGCGGAAAGTTTCTCCTTAGTAGCTTTTGAAGTAGTATTGGTTCCACTTTGGTGAAATGAAAGCTCTTCAGAAAACATTCCAGAGAAAGAATTCCTTCGTAAAGTCGCCGGGCCATTAAAGAACGATTTTTCACTTTCATCAGATGGACTTGGGGGGACTGTATAGGACGATCCCTGAGGAATAACCAAATGACTGACCGAAGACGACATAACGGGGCTTTCGTCTCTATCAACAAGTTTGACATCCGTAAGCGTCGAACTTTCCTCCTCAGTGATTGCCACTATGCTCAGCTTTTTACTTGTTTGCTCTCGCTCGGTACCAGCGCCTTCGTCCTCGATGTTAATCCTCGGGGTTCGTTCCTGTGGCTGATCTTCATCAGGCGTCCGTATGTACTTGCTGTAATTTTTTATGACATTCTCTGCCAGCGAAAGCCTACGGTTTAATATTTGGGAATGAGCGTCTGTGGAACCGAAGGTGTACTTCTTTTCAGTTTCTATCCCAGTGGACGGTGTCTGAGGCGCTGACAAACGCCGCGTGGACGGAGACGGAACGCAACGAGAACTTGGCGGCGACTTCTCTGGAGCTTTATTCTTTTTGTTATCGACTGATGTTGAAAATCTCTTTTCAGGACTGGCCGTTTTCAAATAAACAAACGTTTCTTCCTCTTCTTCTTCGTCTTCATCTCCGCTGTTTCCGTCGCTATCAGACCTGGAAGTTTTCTCGCTCTGTTTTTTCTTCATAAAGCTCTGAAAGCCTTCTTCGGAATCGATAGATTCAAAAGATTCCTGTCCAGTCTTGGCCAACCTCTCACGAAGTCTCGCCCAAGCAGTAGCTGGCTGATCCGACTGTTGATGAAATTGCTGGCGCACCAAACTGCGCACATAGTTACTGCTTCTCGACAAATTTCCTAAATGAGTCATTGATATTCTCTCAGAAGCCCAGTCGTCATTTTTTTCACCCATTTTTCACAGAACGGACCCCTTCAACGGTGAAAAGTAAAGCAATCTTTGGTTACTAAGGCAGGCAACCAAGTAAATGCTTATCGAGACAGCAATCAACAAAGACTACGACAGCGAACTTCCTTAAAACACAAAAAATTTGATAACCACGCTGTGCAATTGCGGTTATTTCTCTAAAGCACGGATCCAATTAACTGTACCCTTGCCTGTTATCTCCACATTGTTCGTATAAACTTATCCGCTATTAGCCCGAAAGTATAAACAGTTTAGGCAATTAAAATATGAAACAAAAATATCTACGTCGACACAACTGATTTCCTCCAAAACTCATAAATGTGGTTTTCAGTGATAGAAAGATAACATAGCATTGTTTTTGGCAACGAATTCTCTCATAATAGTTGCTTACAAAGCTGCTTTTTAAAAACTCATATTCTTCTTTGATATTCTAAAACAACGCACTTCAAGAAACATCTGCTGTGAGGTAAATACAAAAGTGTATGAGCTTTGTGAGGAATAATCTGAGCTTGAAACCACTTCACCCTAAGATTTAATGTGATAATATCAAACGTACACATCACTCAATGGTAAGTTGACCTATAAACATGTGACACCTAGAGACAAACAACAGTACATGGTTTCTAACGATGTAGTAACCCTTGGTCATGCTGTGACTTTAGCCGCATGCCGCCACAGGCTTCTTCGATGCAGTACTTCCAACAAATGAGCGAAATCAATAAAATAAGAATTTTATTACTGTCTTGTCCAAGTCAAAGAAAAATATCAAAACGAAAGGAGTCGTTACGAATACACTAATAGACTGTTTTTTTACAAAGCTAAATGAATGTACCGTTTTATTGGTCCAATGTTTTATTTCCTCTTTTTCTTTCCAATCATTAGAACTACATGTTAACGCATTTGGTTGATAAAATCGAAGGTGAAATAACATTGAAATTTGTTCTGACAAATTAGGAAAAAATGGCTTTATGTGTGAAAAAAAAACTGCTTCATCCGAATTCTTGTGTAATTCACCTGTTCATAATTTCTGAAACAAAACGAAAAAAAATCCTCAAACAAGTACAAATGGCAGAAAAAATTCCACAGAGAGTATACCAGTTTTCACGGTTCTATGAATGAAAAGGTTAGTGACTCGAATCGTATATATATTCGTGTCACGTGCGAATATTTTAAGGAAACTGAGCAGGGTCTGCCATCCTCTATAAACTATTACATGTACGAAATAATTCAAGCAAGTTTGTGAATGAAAGTGGCTATCAGTAATAACCTCTATGGACTTTTATTGAGCAGTTTACGACTACCGCGAAACAAGATTCCATTAGACATTCAACTAGATCAATTATTAGATAACAATAACAGAATGAATGATAGAACTTTATATAGAATATAAAGCTATAAACACTGAAAAATAAAAAACTAATAATTTTTTTTAAATGATTTAGAAATATTTAAAATAAATTTACTAGGACGATTGCGTAGGAATTTGTTTGTTCAATAATATAATAATAATAATAATAATAACAACAATGTTTTACGAGGAGGCCTCCAATCACCCGATGGTGGTTTTCAGGAGGATCCTCATAAAAATTTTAAAAATAAATTACCAAAAAAAACCTAAGACTACAAGCTAAAGTAGAGGTTACAATAGTTCAGTAGAAAAAGTTTCAGTTTGTGTTTAAAAATCGTTTCTGGCATCAGTCTTCCTTCTGTATCAAGGGCAAATTAGATCTGTTATGTCTGTAACAGACATAACAGAGTAGATCTGTTATGTCACTCTGTTCCTCTGCATAACAGAGTAGACCTGTTATACAGTGTAGATCTGTCAAAGTCTCTGATAAGTACATCATTAACATCTATTGGGGTATTTCCACTCAGGGAACCACTTTAAAATGCTTAATAAACTAACTGAAGATTTTGTTGTTCTTCCTGCAAGGTTTTTTGTCAGTTAAACACAAACATAGAAAAAACTTACCTTTTGGATCAATCTATATTTCCTTTATACAAGGCCTATCACGTGATTTTCTTGTATATGTTTTTTGCTTGTATTTTCTGTAGGGTCTGGTGGAGAAAAAGAGCAACAGTAACAATATAAGAGACAATTCCTGAACCAAATTAACTGTAAAAATTACATTTAGCAGGTAACTGAAATAAGAAGTCACACAACAACTGTCTTTAAAACTGCTAATGACCCACTTGATGAAGTCCTTGATTTAAAACTTGATAAGAAATTCTCCGAAGTAAAACAGTAGAGAAAGTTGACAACTTACTTGACAGGAAGTCTTGTTTCAATGATATTTCTTCGCTGGAGGCTCTTAAATCTGTCTTCAAATAAGTTTCCTTCTTGCTGTGAAAAGAGAGACAACAGTTTGGACAAAAACATTTTCATAAAAAACAAGCATTTGACAAACTAAATACATTTTTAAGGAGTGAATCAAGTGCCTACCACTCACTAACTCACAAATTAAAGTAAGTTCCCTTTTGAAGTTAATTATCCAAAAAAGAAAAAGAAAAAAGTTACTGGGTATTTTAATCACATTAAGTGACCACAGTAAGGTGAGCTAACCTTTAAGGTGCGGAGACTTCCAGTCAGCTCTGTACTCAGCTGAACCTCACAATCTGGTGATTCATATCTGAAGTTGCAGTTAAGTAATCATCTAAGATTTTATTCGTTTTACTGATTAAAATGAACTCCACTTTATTAAACATTTAGCATTTCACTTGAGTATTTTGTACCAGTGACAATTTTTCCCTGGTGGCAAGGAACACAACACAACACAACCCCATAGCATCCCACAGACAGTGGTACTCAGCGCAAGTGATAAAATTTGATGTTAATATTAATTCTTGTTTAAAGCTACGAATAGAGGTACACGTAGGATACTTGTGCTTGCTAAGTCTTTTAGGTTTAATTGAAGAACTTCTCTCTGTTTCTTTTTTCTTCCTTCTCCTTTTTTCAGCTTCCTCATCAGCTATTTTCATTTCTTTCTTCAGAGCTTTTAATCTGTTACAAAAAAATTTATTAAAGGGCTCAGCAATCAAGAATGAAAAGAAGTCTTAGATGTACATAATTTGTGTGACTGCTAAATAATACACAGGGTTTAAATATCAATCAGAAGGACTCACAATATTCCTGGATGATGTCCATCGGTCATTAGTACATGTTTGTTTTCATCAAAGAATTTTATGAGATTTATTTTACATGAACTGTGTAACTAAGATTTGCTGAAAATAAATCACAATTCCATAATTATTAATACAATGTACATTCACATACACAAATCAGCTTCCACCAACCTAAAAATCTCGTTTTGTTGCCTCTTTTCTTTTCTTTCTGTCTCAAGTCTCTTTACCTAAAATAAGCAAATAAAGCTCTCATGAGCACAGTGGATTAGATACCTCAATCCCACTTGTGCCTTATATTTTCCCCTGTAATATTTAGAGTGATAGATATCTGAGTTATGACCATATTCCATTTTTGGACCATTTCGACAACACTTGGGGTTGGAGTTAAATTCAACAAAAGACCAACAGGGAATTCAACCAGCTAACTTACTTCCTCCTGTTTCTGTTTTTCTTTCGTCCTTTGCTGTTTTGTTTTTCTGTTGAAAGCTCTCACAGGAGCCGCAAGGGCACTTTCATGATCATTTTCATTCTCATCATCCTCTGCATCATTTTCAGCAAATAATCCTTGACTCATCTCTTCATTCCATGTTGGCTGAACATCACAAATTTGGAGTAGTTCAATGAATTAATTCAGCATCATCTACATGCACATACCAACTTGTAGAAGAAGGTTAAGTTCATGGCCACAAATCAGAAAGAAGGATTTGTATAACAACCCAAGACAGAACTATTATACTTATATAACCATACAAGAACAGTTTTTTGTATTCAACAGCTGCCTTTGTATCAGCTTTGTCTGGGCTCACAAACAAACATGAACACATTTGACTGTTAATGATTACCAAATTAGCTGCCTCCTCTGCAGTCAAGAGCTTCACTTGTCTTTTCAGTTTTTCTGTTTCTTTCACTTTTCTTAACTCCACATTATGAGCCATTTGAAGCAAAGACTGAAAATAAATTCATACAATTGAGAAAGCCGAGATAAAACACGCTAGTTGCTGTGTTATCCAAGGGAGGGATGAAAACCCATATGCACCCGAGGAGGGTGGAGTGCACAATGTCTCACTTGAGGGAATAAAAACCAGATCATTGTCTAATTTAGGGTGTTCCTGATGAGACTAACATACCTTTGTTTGATCTTTTGGAGTGGCTTATAATAAATGCAAGACTTATATTTTTCTGGAGGTCCAATAAAAAATCAACAATCAACAAGACAGCAGATATGAATTTCCCTTAATCTGTCATTAGTCAGCAAACTGTCAAGTGACTTAATGTTTATGGTGTTAAGATCACTCTTCTCAAATAATTTCATCTCAAAGTTCTGGTGAACATCTCTCATTCCCCTCAAAGTTAAACACAGAGAGAAAAAGGTGACATTATCATGACTGCATAATATCCATTAAAATTATGATACATGTACCTGCCTAAGAAAGCTCCAATTTTACATTATTATTATTACTAATTTTCTCTGGAATCGGACAATATCCTGAAATTACTGTTTCCTTAACATTTTTCTGTACTGTTGGTATCATTCCAATGGCCCACATAACACAATGCATCTCTGTAAACTTGTGTTTATAAGAGGCCTGCTTTTTACCTGATGATCTTCATATGTTGGATTGTATGATGCACCAGGTGAACAAACTTCAACAGCTACTAACTGAGAAGTCTTCCTGCTGATTGTCTTTGGTTTCTGAAAAATATGAAAGATTTGTTTGAGTGAGCAAGAAAGTGACTAAAACAAACAGGAACAAGAAGAAAATAATCTTCATTTTACATTGAAAAGTGATGCCATTACCTTAACATTGATTCTCTTAGTAGTTGAGAGAAAATGTTCATCGCCTGTCGGAATATCTACAAAAATGAATCAAAAATAGAATAATGAATTACAGTATGAACTTCAGTGACAGAATCTTCAAAACCAAACACATACCAGGACATGTAAGAGGCAGGAAAATTTATCTCACCATGGCAGGTGTTCTAACTAAGGATATAATGTGTGCAATATCACATCACAGTCATATAATAATTTTTGCAACATTTCAGCATCTGTAAAACTGACTCAATAATATGTATGAACATTAAATATACTTTCTAGCACAACCCTTCCAATACCTCTATCCCAATTTTTCAAAAAACATAAATTAAAGTGAATTTAAGTCAAACTAATGTTATACTAGTAAGACAAGTTTAGTTCACATTTTCAAGTCTTAAATTCTTAAAATTCTTAATCAGCAGAGAAAAATAAAAATCAACTTGGTTTGGTATCCCTTTAACCTGTATTCCATTTTAAGTTGCTACATGTTCATGAATACAACAGCACCCATAGTATACTTAGTAGTAACCGCACAGTCATTACCTTGTGCTTCCCATAAATCAAACACTGCAGCTGTTTTGGGCTTTTTTTTATTTATCTGAGCTTTGACAAGTTTGCCTCTCTCCTCTTCAATCTCAGAATCAGATGATGAGTTGCTGAAATCTTCCCTTTGCTTGCTTTTTAGGTGAACTTTTCTTTTCTTGCTTCCAATTGGTTTAATTTTGCTTTCTGGTAATAGCTGATCAGCCTTCAGGAGTTTTCGTTTTCTTGAATTTTCTTTAGGTTTACCTGTATGTCAGAGTAGCATATCCAGATAAACAAAAATCTGCATGAAGATGAATTAAATTCTACTGGCTTCAATTCCACTGCAGGAGGCTTTGTATACCAATATGCAACTTACAAAGAAGAGTTCTTACTGATGATTATAAATAGTTTACTAAAACAGCTCATTCATGACAACAATTCATTACCCCAGTCTTACTTGGTGAATAAATTTTGTAACTGTATCTACTCCTCCGGCGGGCTTCTTACAGATTAAGTATCAGTAAAATCAAGGAAGAAAAACATGTTATTTTTATTTTGTTACTGGGTCTAAATGGTCACTCCTTAATGATGGCAAATGCCTTTCCCCCTCCTGTTCCACTCCCCTACTTGATGTGTGGACCTGAAAATCCTGTCAGCATTCCTTAATGCCTCAGCATATCATTCTTTATCCAAAAATCATTCACAAAGACAGTCCAAATCATTTATACAATTGCCATAATGAGACAGCTGGTTCTTAATAAGTAATATTCACCAGAGTATACCAGAGACCATGACGAGATTAAGATTCATCTGCTTTATATACTTGAATTGCATTAATTTTACCTTCAGTAACTTTTCTCTCTTCAGTTCTGTGGTCTAGAAAGTACAAGCTTTCATCTGGTTTTTCAGAAACTGGACCACTGTATAATGAAGGAATATTGAAAATGACACAGCCTGTAACAACTTGAAACTGGAATAATGAGTAAATAATACAGCATAAATTCTAATTTCTACTTGTTGCCCTTAGTGAATTGAAGTAATTTTCCAAGCAAAGTGATATTTAATCTATTTACAAACTAAATTACGGATTGTAAACCCTGTTAAAATCTCTGCTCCACTACAACTCAGATTCTAATTGATCCTTCATCTACACAAACTATTCAGTTCTCAGCTGCTACAATACACAAATGCTCAGATCATAAACAATACATCTTTCTCCACGAAGGTCTGCCGACAGGGCCACCGATGCCTTCATAGTTAACGTGCACTTTGTTGTTAAAATTAGCATGGTAACTGATTAGAATTTGAAAGCTAGTGTTAAATCTTTGCATGTTATTTTTCCATACATTTTATGTCTTAACTTCTTCATCTACTTCAACCTTTACTCTGCCCTACTTATTTATGTCGTAATTTTTTTCAGGTCAGTATATGAACCTTTTCATACGAATAATCTGAAACTAAACCATCATTCCAGTAACCTATCATTATCAACTACATCGATTGTAATGATTAAATGCAAATTTCAACGAAATCTGAGTTAAAATTACGATAACCAAAATTCCACGTGGAGAGCTCGATCAGCTGTTTAGCGTCAGTTTCGCCACTAGATCACATCAAAGTACGGTTACAATCGGCAGATTACGCCTCAACTCACCCGGTTCTTTCCTCGCGTCTTGCCTCTTCAAGATGTTCCTCAACATCTCTAATATTAGTGTTCTTTCTCCAGCTTTGTTTTGATTTCTTACTATATCTCTTTCGCTTCGTCGTCAACGCCGCCGCCATGTTGATTTTCTGTCTGCTTCTGGAAACGTGGGCTCAGTTATTGCGCAATAGAGGTAAAACTGGAATCCTACAATAGGGCCTTTATGCAAAATACTAAGAAGTCACATAACAATTACATAATCACGATCACTAAGGTTACGAGTACAATAAACACACAAAGACAGCCTTCTAAGGACATGAAGCTACTTGACAGAAATGCAAATATTTTGAGAATACATCAATCAAGTTTAATTAAGCCTCCTCCTGAATATTCAATCGCATCAGTGTAAAATGGCACAGTAAAAGACTTTTATTGAAGAAGGACCTATTTTTCCTTTATCCCCTTCATTTTACATGCCAGTCTTGCACACAGCAATCAGAAAATCCCGAAGGATCTTTTGTCAAAATATCATCCTGTCCGATTCGTACCGTTGTTTTGTCTTGTTACTTTCTTTGTCTCTGTTTGATGGACAATGTAGTTATGCATTCAGTCAATTATTCAAAGGACATACCAGAAAAGCCAGCCCCTTAGGGATTGGCTTAGTTCTCTAATGCATGCTGTGTTTGACAAGCATTTATTTTTTTCTATTGATCAAGTGATGTTCACATGTTCACAGAACAGTCTCGGAAATAACCGCATCAGTGCGATATGACTCGGCAAAAGGTTGTTATTGAAGGAGGACTTATTTCTTATCTTGCTCTCCTAATTTTACAAACCAGTCTTGCACAAAGCAAGGGAAAAGATTCCGAAACATTAATCGTTGTGTCAATGGACGGCTTGAGATGGCAATACATTAACGAAGGATTCGCAAACACACCTAATCTTGATTCAATCGCTCGAGAAGGGGTCACATCAAAGTTCATCAAAACTGTTGTACCGAGCAAGACATGGCCAAACCATCACAGCTTCCTCACTGGGTTATATCCTGAAAGCCATGGCATTGTATCAAATAAATTTTTTGATCCAGTTTACCAGGAAAAGTTTGTCTTAGATTATGATTGTAGTAATTACGACCCAAAATTTTACAATGCGTCTGAGCCAATTTGGTTGACTCTGCAGAAAAATGGCGGTCGAAGCGGGGTTTATTTCTGGCCGGGATTCGGAGGTTACCCAGAAAAGCCGACATTCTACGAGAAGCCCGCAATCTGCCCCGTCAATTGCAGTGAGATCAACCCAAAAGACTTGCCAAACATGAGAAACAGCAGAAGTGGCTGGCCACCTTACATTCATTGCATGGTAAACCACAGTGAGCCTGTTGCAAACAGAATTGATAAGATCATGAGGTGGCTAAGGACCGACCTGCCACCCAGGCTAGTTCTCTTGTATTCAGAAGATCCAGACAGTACTGGACATGGATTCAGTATAGAAAGTGACCAATATAGAGCCGCTATGGAGAGAGTAGACCGTGATACAGTAGGATACCTGATCAACAGTCTCAAGAATGCAAACATGTACGACAAAGTCAACATCATGTTCGTTAGTGACCACAGTATGACTGATACGTCGTCTAAAAGGCAGATTTTCCTCGAGGACTACATCAACCTTGACGACTTTCAGCTCGTTGAAGGAGGAGCCGTTGGCCACATCTGGGCTGAAGGTAAACAAGTTGACGACATTTACAGAAATCTAACAAGTGCTAATAATGCTCACATGAGGGTATACAAAAAGGAGGACATCCCAGAAGAATACCACTGGAAGCACAACCTCAGGATCCCGCCGATTTTCGTCGACCCCGACGTTGGATGGGTCATAAAGACTGAGCGTTCAAAGGCACGTCAAGGGAATTGGACAGTGGGAGATCATGGCTGGCCTTCAACGAGGTCCAAAAGTTACTCTGTGTTCTTTGCCCGTGGTCCTGCCTTCCGGAAGGGGATTGAAGTGTCATCCTTCAATACCGTGGACCTGTACCCTCTGATGTGTAATTTATTGGGAATTGAGGCTAAACCAAATAACGGCTCTTTTGAGAATGTTAGATTGATATTGAAAGAATATGCTTCAAAACCAACTGCCAAGGGTGTCTCTTATCTATGTCATTCATTAGCTCCTCTTTTCCTTATTGTATCGAGCGTGATGTTTTGCATATTAATGACGGACTGAACTTAATACCGTTAAGCTATGTACTTTTAAAATTTCTGTACCAGCGTAATCAGTAGAAAGCATGATTCGCTTGCAGCGGAAGTAATGGAGCCTTTGGTTAACATGGTACCAGAAACTATTAGGCGATTTATACATCGTCTACCGCGCAAATAGTAAATATTATATTTCTCGTGCAGCAAAATTATTTGTGATTTACAACAACAATGTAACGAAACGTTAACTCATTAAAATAAATGTAACTTTGTAAGCGGTATATATTTTAATTCTGGACAACAAAAGTCCTGTGACTGTCAAGAATGAAGAATGAGACCTTTGAACCAATTTAGTTACATGGACGTCTAGACCTTAATGCTGACGACCTCTTCCGTTTTCCAATCGCGCTCACGCTGAACCGATTGTTATAGACGTGTCAGTACCGCATTTTAAAAGATCCTAAAGCAAAATGTAAATGATAAGGCTGCTTATCAAAGAACATATAAACCAATGGGCGGTAATTTAGCCCCGAAGCCGAGCAGTGAACTCTCCGTTTCATTTATGAGGTTGGCGTGATGTATATCTGTCTGTTTCTGCCTCCTCCTCCCCCTCCTCCAAGAAACCTGAAATAAAAAGAAACAGAGAAACCTGAGGGGGGGGGGGACTAGCAGTTCACGGAAAAAAATATGCAATTGAAACTAGCGGAACAAAAAATGAAAAGGAAATACGTTACTATGGTATGCAAAATTATGAGCCACTTGAAACATATTTGCTCGCGCGCGATTGACCTAAAAGCATTCATGGCCACATGGCCACATATTCTCCAGCTAAAACTAGGGGATATCCAAGGATATCGCCTGTTTAAAATTTAATTCAAGAAGAGAGTGCGTTCTTTGGTTATCACAGACAAAAGGAAACGTATTTGTTTGTTAATTAAGTCGTGCTAGAGAACACTCCAAAGAAATCTTCCCACGCAGCAAACAATAAGCTGTTCGCAAACATTTTTTTTTTCAAAATATTTGAAGGATAATAAACAAAATAGCATCTGTTTTGCGCGAAAATATACACGTATATTTTTCCTTGGACTTAATATGTTTCTCGAAATTCACAGTTTTCCCCGAGCTTCGCTCTCGAAAAAATGTTTGCATCTTGGAACAAATAATGTCCGCGGACAAATATCCGTGCATATTATTGTGCCAAATAGAGGCTTTTATCTATTGATCCCAATTTATACAAACTAGGCATGTTCAATCACGTCTAGTTTCTCATCTGGGTCGCAAAATGTTATACGAGAAATACAGGAGTTGGCGGTACGAGATCACAAAGTAATCGCGCACAAAAACGCCAACTCTTTTTACTACTTTACATATCATGGAAGTTACTTGACGATATCATTTGATAGAATCATTTCAAATATTTTTCTATACTATAGGAGACTGGTGCTATATGATCTCACATAATTTTCCATCGTGAGACATTCTCAGAAAACTGAGAAGTCAATTATGACTTTCAGGGGATTTCCCAAGGAAATGAGTCATCAGATCGCTATCATGTTTTCCTAGGTCCTGTGAGAGTCTCGTAAGATAGTTTGTAATCTTTACAAATATATATTTAAAGCTAATTAACCGTAAAGTTTGTCAGTAAAGTTAAATTTGTTACTGATGTTTACTTTCGGATTTTATGATGTCCAAAAGCGTAAGATGTTATACTATCTTCATGAATGTATCGCTTATCATCAAAGCAGCTGAGTGACACTTCATTGAGTTCAAAGCTTCCGATTTGATGATTGTAGCTTCTGATAGTTTTCATTCTTATGATGCATTTGTTTGTTATTTAATAATACGTTTTTGTAGTCTTTATGTTTGATTCTTTCTTTATGACCGTTGTTTTATTCCTTTAGCTGTTCTTTCACTTTTTCATTATCTTTTCTATATAAGGAGTACATTTTGATCTTACACCAACTAATTCAATTATTGGTAGATAAGAAGCCTCGTCGCTGAATCTTCCAATCCCCTTATAATTCGTTTGATCAAAATATAGAGAATTGTCTGGATAGTCTCTATTATCAAATTTGTCTCTATCATTCCAAAGGTCTCTATACACGTCTTCGGTTTCGATTTCATATGTTAGACTGTCTGTGTCGGTGAAAATAATCTTGCTATGTTGTTATACTTTTTTAAATATAATTTTAATGGAAATCCTATATAAATGTCTTAGAAAGATCGAGAATACACATCTCTAAAAATGCCGGCGTTTCTAGAGTGATTGATTCTTTGATCTTATGAACAGCTACTAGATTCTCATTAAAAATTTTTGATGACACATAAGTTGGCGTCGAGCTATATTTTGATAATGTTTTTTATCAGTTACATTTTTTAGATATACTGTTTTGAGAATGTTCTCCATAGTTTTGCCAAGTACACTGTTACTAAAAAGCTTGAAGAAGTCTTTTTTAAACGAATTTCTTACATTGGTTCTCTTGTTTGAATCTCTACCTGATGATAGCCCTGCTAATTTCAAGCTCCGAGAAGTACCCCACGGCGAGGTCCTGCGCGTGCTGAAATTGTTGAGATCTGATACGTCTACTAGCCCCGACGGTATCCCTGCCAAATTCGTTAAAATGGTGGCTGAATCCATTGCTGGTCCCCTCACAACTGTTATCGACAACTGCATCAGGAAGTACTATTTTCCTAAGGCGTGGAAAAATGCGAGAATCAGTCCAAATCCTAAAGTCGATCAACCGAAGTATGAGGCCACTTTCGTCCCATTTCAATTCTCCCCACTATCAAAAGTCTTTGAGAAACCTTTCGCGCTGCAGATGACCACCTTTGTGAATCTGAATCAGTACTCCGCGAGACAATTTCTAGCTTTCGTAAGGGACACTCGACCAATACAGTGTTAGTGGGTATGCGCGACGATTTGCTAAGAGCGATGAAAAAAGGTGAGGTTATTCTCATGGTGCTGGCAGATTTCTCTAAAGCGTT